AGCTTCATGTGCATTGAATTCTCAATGTGATTCGCTCCCTGGCAACTTTCAATAAAGGGAAGCTGGCTTCCTCATTTCAGTTGTTCAAACTGCTCACCTCCTGCCTTGCCTCTATATTTTCTCCTACATTCTTGGTGTTCTGTCTCCTTATTAACACTTAGTAATATACTTTACCCTCGGTCTGCCACAGAACTCAATCTTTGATCTTTTCATCCCAAGAGTCCATCATTGATCATTTACCTTTTGTTTCCTGCATGGGAAAATCCGAAGGGCTGGTTCAGAGAGAGAAAGACACACACATTAACATACGAAATCTGCAAAAAAGGCAGCATCAGCACGAGGATAAAAAGCTCAAAAGACAGAGAGGGACAGGAATGGAGCGTGAATGGAAACTGGAAACTCAGAGAGAAGTGACAAGAGAGCTGTTAGCTGTGAGGAGGGCAACGGAGAGCCAATTTTCCCTCAAAATCACAAAAGGGGAAGTTGAAAAAAGGCAAAGCCTGAGAGCAGATTTCAGGGAGAGGATGCAGACCCAGCAGAGCAAGCAGCAAGGCCACAGACTGGGCTGAGGGAGACTGAGCAGACCCTGGGGTAGGGCCTGGACATGCAAGTCACAGGTACACAGAATCTCTGAGGAATAGAAGCAAAGTGAGGAGCGCACAAAGTGTCAAGGACATCTACCTTTTGGGGGAGTCTTCGTGTGCTTCTTCTATTAAAAAGAAAAAAGAAAAGAAAAAAGAGGAACGGTTTTGTTAGCAAAGAATCTCATGCTGCTTCTTTAAATGTTGTTGTTGTTGAGTGTCGTCGAATTGTAGACGGCTCATAGCGACCCTACGAATGAAGCACCTGAACACTCGTATAACTTTCATTGTTTCTCCAAGTTCATAGGGTTTCTGGAGGCAAGCTATTTTAGAAGTGGATGCCACTCCTGCTTCCAAGCTTGTTTTAATTGGGGACCTCCAGCAAACACTGTCCACCACGGCTAACCATTAACGCATTTGACACATCAGTGTCACAGTGTTCAGCTTCACAGCAACCATGAGTTACCTCTGTACAGCAAATAGACAGACCAGTGCTGTACCACTTAGAAGAATGTTTGACCAAAACCAATTAAAACCAGGCCTGAGGGCCACAGATTAAAATCACTTAAAATTAGCATCACTTTCTGTCCACTAGGCCCACTGAGCTCTCTCTATGTTGTTGTTGTTGTTAAGTGCTGTTGAGTCGTAGACGACTCATAGTGACCCTGTGAATGAAAGACCTGAACATGTGGATAACTTTCATCGTTTCTCCACATTTATAGAATTTCTGAGGGCAAACTATTTAGAAAGCGGATGCCACTCCTGCTTCCAAGCTGGTTTGAATCGGGGAGCTCCACCAAACACTGTCCGCCATAAGTGACCAATATCACATTTGACACATGGGTGTCACAGTGTTCAGCATCACAGCAAACACGAGTTACCTCTGTACAGCAAATAGCACATTGTCTCCGAGAGGATCTTTTATTGTGGTGACCCTCTGTGCTGCAGAGCAGAATAGCTCTGTGGGTTCTCTTGGCTGGAACCTTGACAGGGTGTTGGATTGTTAGTGAAAGGTCAGTGGTTCTAGCCCCACCAGCGTCTCCTCAGGAGAAGCACAAGGCCATTGCATCTGTAGATATTTGTAGCTTTAAAGAGACATCTGCCCTGGCCCAGAGCATTGCTAGAGTCAGAATTGACTTGATGGCAGTGAGTTGGGTTGGTTTTGAAATCTCTATAGAAGGCCATGTTTTCTGTAGCACACCGGATGCGTTCCAATCACCCGCTTTGAGATCAGTGATGATGTTATTGTCTTCAAGTCAGTTCCAGTGCACAGTGGACTTGCATGCCTTTTTTTTTTTTTTATTCTTGTGTGTGTGTATCGTCAAATCAGATCTGACTGGTACAAGAGGAGATTGTCCCTCCTTCCCCGGCAGAGCATCTGGTGGATTTGAACCGTGCGCCTCTGGGATTGTAGTTGCAGCTCCTTGCCACTAGGCCACCAAAGCTCTCCTTGCGTGTCTTTTTGTAAAAACAAACATCCTTCATAAAGCCCCCGCCGGCCAGTCAAGTCCGACCCTTCGCCACCCTGTAGGGTGCAGCAGAACCTCCCTGCGGAGTCCCCAAGGCTGTGATCTTTCCTGAAGCAGACCACATCTTTCCCCAGCAGCAGCAGTAGCAGCAGCAGCTGGTGGTTCAAATCCAGAATCCTCCCTTTAGCAAGCGAGCGCTTCAGCGCTGTGCCACCAGGGCTCACGTGTATGTTGTTATGTGGCGTCCAGTCAACGGTGACTCCTAGTGACCTCGTGAGCAATCGTTCTTTGCCCTATCTTGAGACAATCTCGCTGTCTCTGACACACCTATTAGTGCACAGCTTCCTGGTGAAAATATGGTAATTTGTCGCACCGTGTTTTCATGGGGAAGCCGTGGTATGAATGGGTTTGTTTATAGGCATCAAATTGATTCTGACTCATGATAATATCAGATGTACTGAGTAGAACTAATTGAGTGTGTTTTCAAGACTTTGAACTTTTGGAAGCCACTCCCCGGGTCTTTCTCCTGGAACACCTCTGCTCGGGTTTGAACCGCCAACCTCCCAGCAAATAACAGAATGCTTTGCCCACTCATAGACCCCTCACTCCCTCAAAGCGGAGACACTGTTCTTCCTTGAACTCACCGTGCTGGGTACATTTGTAGACCACGAAGATACAGATGAAGAGGAGGGAGAGGGAGACGCAGGTGGAAATTGTAACATAGACCACGACAGCGTTATCTGGTGGAACAGAAGCGCATTGGAGGGTGAGCCTGGTCCCTAAAACACACTAATGCCATTTAGCAGAAGGGGGAGGGAGAAGCCACGTCGCCTGCCTTCCACTTTTGCCTCTGCCACTTTCGAATATTTGCAACAATTTCCTGTAAGATGGGGAAAACAAAAGTTTGCACTTGGTTGAATGTGGGACTCAAAAGTCCTGCTGCCGTGGAATCAATTCCAGCTCATATGAAACCCTATAAGCCAAAAGAGAACTGCACTACAGAACCCTAAGAAATAAGGACTGTGACCACACACACACACACACACACACACACACACACACACACATTGTAACATTAATTACAATAGCAAAGAACTGAAAACAACTCAAGTGTCCGTCAACAGAAGAACGGTTAGAGAAACCATGGCACGTCCACACAGTGGAGTAGTATGCATCACTGAAAAATGATCAAGAACTCGTGGAGTCCTGGAAGACATAGGCGACTCTTGAATGAATGACGCCGAGTGACATAAGTCAGTCACAAAAAAAGACAGTTACAGTGAAAGATCACTATTAGAAAAGAAACTGCACTGCAGTCCTGAGGGCACACGATTCGAATCCACCAGCTGCTCCGTGGGAGAAGGACGGGCAATCTCCTCCCACGCAATTAAGCGCCTCTGAAAATCCGCTGGAGGGTCAGCTATGACTCGGTTCAGACTCGACGGTACACAACAACAAGGAAAGGTGTGCACGCAGGTAGAATCAATCATGGCAGGACAATTGGGCTGGGAAGGGAAGAAGGAGGAAATAAAATTTAATAAATAGATCATTTGAGTGAGGAGAAAGGCAAACCATAGTAAAGGGTTTACTAGACATTGTAATGAATTCATTTATTTGCATTAATCAGTGACAATGTTATAAAACAAAACGTGCATGAATGGTTGTGTAAAAATCAATATGATCTGTAAACCTCCACCAAAGTAAAATAAATGATTTTTTTTAAACTGCTGCAAGGTTTCTGAGGTTATAAATAATTTTTTTAATTTTTTTTATTACTTTGTGTGTGTGTGTGTGTGTGTGTGTGTGTACCGTCCAATCTGATCTGACTGGTCCAGGAGGAGATTGCCCCTCCTTCTCCAGCAGAGCATCTGGTGGATTTGAACCACGTACCTCTGGGATTGCAGTGCAACTTCTTGCCACTAGGCCACCAGAGCTCTCTGAGGTTACAAATCATTATAAAGTAGGGAGCCTCATCTTTCTCTTGTGATAGCCGGAGGATACAGATCACTGATTTTTTTCTTTTTTTACTCTTCATTTTCATTTTTAATTTGGGCTTTTTCTTTCCTATTTATTCTTATAGATTACATCACTTTGACAGGTAGTCTGTATATACTAATTCCAGAACTTGGAATCACATGATTTTATAATTCCCCTCTCTTTCCTCCCAACTATGCTGTTTGTTGTATACCACGAATTTGGAACCGACCCATAGCTGACCTTCCGGCTGGCTTTCAGAAGCAGTTAATTGCACAGAAAATTGCCCATCCTTTTCCCAACTACTTGCTGTCAATATGTCTCAAGATCAATAAATATTCTCCTGTTTTGATAATACTTTTATCTTTTAGGGCCAACCCAAAATCTATTTAATCAAGCCTTTAGTGTTAATAATTTATTTCTAATTGTCTCTTTTGCTGCCATAAACAATGCTGAAATGGATATATTTGTGAATGGCCTTTGAAATTACTGCACCAAAGGAACTGTACAGGCAGATGGTGCATTTCTGGGTGGATCACTGATTTTTCAGTTCGTATCTCAACTATTAAAACGCTTGACTATGTCTTTAGTTGTACAGAAATAATGGTTCTGGTGAACTTCATTAACACGTATGCTTTTCTATGACTGTGAAAATTAGGAGAGTAAAGAATGCATAGAAAAACAAGTCTACAAACATAGTTAAATTGTCAACTCGAGCTACTAATAATTAAATAAAAGTTCCTGGGAAATAGACAGTAAATGGAATTTGACCAATGAACATTCACATCAATTAGCTGCCCCCTTGTCTCTCACAAATGTAAGAGGATGAGGGAAAGATCAAACAAGATCAAGAAATGTCTCTCATAAAATGTTATAGAGAAAAACAAAAACAATAAAATGACGTTATAGAGCCCCATCAACAAACGAATGGATAGAGAAGCTGTGGTATATTCACACAATGGAATACTACG